GACAAATTTGAATTAGGGGGCCCCACGCACAGCGTTGACTTCAGACATTTTTCTTCGAGGGAATTTTTTTTGGGGAAAATACTTTCTTATAAAAGATTGGTTTGGGGCTTCGGGCAATTGTCCTTTTTGTCCCCGGGATAACACGCCGCTGCTAGACACGGTACTTAGCTATAATCAAAGTCCGAGAAAAAATGATTAAATGGTATAAAATGTTATTTTTTCATCTCGTATACATCTGCACCCGTAACTCCTTCATCCAATATAAAAAGAGAATGCAAAGAGATAAAAATATACGACAGAATTCAGACTTGGATGAGTGAACTAGATTTTCGAATCATGTTATCTAATGATTCAATAATTAATATAGTAATAATAATAATAATCGCAGTTTTAAATTATTAGCTAATGACAAAGCGAGGAAAAAGAATTGCGTTGCGTAACGCATCCCTCGGGGCGAGCCACAATGGGAGTAACGTCCATGGATGACGCGAGTGCTACAAACGATGGGAACCATTTAATGGTCTTTGAATATTTATCGCAATAATCTAATAAAATTTTCTAAGTATACGGTATTCTAGAAGCCTATATTTTTCACAGAGTAATGAGTTAAGTTAGAACAGCTGTTACTAACGTAAACATTATGGTGATTTACGTCATTGTTCGAAACAATTTTGTAATTTTTTGAATTAAATTGCGTCGAACAGTTCTTAAGTACAGAAGAATTAGGAATTGCGAAATTCCTGCTTTCTCGGTAGTGCGAGGCAGGGATTTCCTAAAGGCTGCTATACACTTACGTAAATCCTCAAAGGATGTACTTAACAGACGAAAAAAATCGGATATAACTGGCTGGATCGAACATAGTAATTTACAAAACTTATTAAAATATTTCCCAACATATAAAGAATTATTTATTTAAAGGTGGATAGATAGAAAAAAAATCACGGTTAATCCTCAAAGGATTTCCGTAACGTGTATAATAGCCAAAAACAGTTGCTGTTGTTACAAGCTTTACAAGTTACAAATTACAAGCAAAATTCATCGAATAGAAAGTTTTATAACGAGTTACGAGCTACTAGTAATTTTGATTGCAAATAGTTAGTTACAATAAGTAATAAGCTGCAAGTATAACTTTCTTAGCTCGTAACCGATAGTTCGTAACTTGCAATTTGTACACAACAGGGTTCACGTACTGTACAACCATATAATTGTGCGGAGCTCTTCGCAGCTCTGAAAATTCTCAAAGTTTAACACGCACGATCAGTGGTGATATTCAGCGGGTTTGCACAGGTTCGGCCGAACCCGTTGTTAACATTTTCAAAGTTTTCCGAACCCGTTGTTAAACACACGTAACATTTCTCAATGGTTTTGTTTCTTTTACAAAATATATTAAAAGATACGTATTATACTCTGTAACACTACTAAACTAGAGCCTTATACCCCGTTCGCCTTGGTGCAACCTCCATCGACCGTTTCAATCTCGACTGAAACCAGATTTAGTCGCGATCGACTCAAGAGAGTTCTTGAAACTAAGTCCAGTCATACGAGAGATCCCACGCGCGCGAGAAAATACAAGATGGCTGCGGAACACGTGTCGTGCTATCGACAACGAAATAAAAAAAATATTGTGTTTCGAGAAACGATGACATCTGTCTATTATTATGACGGATACCCTCACCCCCAGCCACTGGCAAGCTGTCGCAAGGCTAAGGGACCACTGCTCAATTAACCAAGCAGAATCCCTGGCCATCCTCCGTGCTGGTTTCAACACGGCAAAGTAAACATCATCAGCGACAGCAGGATTGCCTTGTGGCAGGTTAAAAATGAAAACCACAAGCTTCCAATTGTCAACGACAGCCTCAAGATTCTAAAACATTTAAGGGACAACAATATACAAATCTACTTCCACTGGGTCAAGGGCCACTCAGACACTAACGGAAATGATCGGGCTGATGACCTAGCCAAAAAAGCCGCTAACATTACTTCAAAAATCCACTATCAGGCCCTACCACTCACGGCTGTTCTCAGCTCTCTCCGTTCCATTATAATTAACAAATGGCAAAATGAGTGGGACAACAGCACCACGGGTCGCTACACGTACGCCTTCATCCCCAACATCAACCAAAGGCTGAACAATCACGTCTTCCATACCAACCACGGCCTGACCCAGATGCTCACAGCACATGGAAACTTCAGGGCATACCTCAACAGGTTCCACAACAAGGGTAACGCCAAATGCAACTGCGGGATTCCAGAAGACGAAGACCCATTCCACATCATTTTCACTTGTCCGAACTACAACTCTCAGAGGAGACCACTCCGCAATGAAGCAGACTCTGAAGGACTTCTTTGGCCATGCCAACTGAAAGACCTTGTTAACAACAACAAACTCTTCGAAGCCTTCAAGACCTTCGTTTCTAAAACCAAATTAAGCATCTACTTCAACGTGGCAAGTAACACAAATTAACGGATCTTTTTCGGCCTAACAAGGCCGGTCTTCCTCACTCTACTCTAATTTCCTCCAGGTAACCCCATACTGTACTATATACCCCCACCCGCCAATACAAACGGGTGACTGTTGTTCTCTCATGTT